TCATAAATTGAATAAAAGCTTGGCAATTAATCCTTTGCAGTGCAGGTGGAGTCTCAAGTCTTTACCCAAAAAAAGTCCGTAGGCCATGTTTTTCGAATCTTCCCCATGTAATTTGGTTCATTTTGGTTGTAAAGGAAAAAAGTTTAAGATTTCATTATTTTTGATAGTACACTAATAATTTTTTATGAAATATATTTTCTTTGTTAAAATTATTAAAATTTGAAACTGTTTAATGATTAGAAAAGAAAAAAATATTCAATAAAAAGTTGAAATAATTAATTAATAGTTAATATTTTTAGATAAATTTAAAATTTAAATTTTAATATTAAATTTTAGTATTATTTAATATTTTTAATTAATTTAATAAACTCTCAATTTTATCAATTCAATCTTATGATTATAATTTTACCTTACCAAAATAATTTTACCTAAACTTTCCATTTTGATAACCTTACTCCAGGAGCTTTCACAATGACGGCTAGATGCAAAGCCACAGGGAGGATTGCCATTTAGTTGCTTAAATTTCAAAATCCAACCCATGTAGGAACACGATTTTCTTCTTTCATGATCAACGACATCGAAGACAGTTTTAAAAGACTGAATCAAACATGGAGGAGGAAATTGATATTGATTAGCCAAACCACTGCCAAAAAACAGAAGCAAAAAGACCCAAAAGCCATTTTCCAAGAGAGATAGGGAGAAGCTTAGCATAGAGGGCAAAACAGAGAAAACAACCTCTCTGTGAACGACGGACAAAGTATTTTGGCAACAAAATGATCAAAAAGCCATTACTTACATATGAAAATGAGAGAGAAACATTGTAGGGCAAAACAGGGAAAAGGGGAGTTAGTATAGCAACTGTGAGAGGCGGCCCTTCCTTCCTTTAACTATTTTGATTTTGCAAGTTTCTCTCCCTTTAACTGTGAAAGGGGAATTTGTATGCTATGTTTCCCCTCTTCTGGTACAGACGCATGGATTTCTCATCAGCCATTGCTTTTTTTTATATACATAAATCTTTAGCTATTAAATTACAATATGAATTAATGAACCTATAAACATCTAAGAACGACTAAAGAAAAAGGGATAAAGCATTAGAAATAGATTAAAAAGCTACCTCATGGCTTCCTTGAGTCAAGCCCCTTCAAAAAATTCACACGAATTCTTCACAAATCCTCATATTGACACAATGACTATTGATGTGAAAAATCTTAAATGTAATATTTATTTACTACTTATGCTACCTAAGAGATCCAGAGAATGGATCACAAACAAAATCTAATTAATCCCATTTAAGTTTTAAATTTTTCATTATATATTAGCATGAATTAACAGAACCTATAGCAGTCAAACCACAGAAAGAACAAATAGAATGTAAGAATAAAAATAAAAATAAAAGAGAAAAAACAGATAGACCGGTTCCATTCTTTCTAGACTCTGTGTACTGGAAGGCAAGGAAGGAAGAAAAGAGAAAGAGGGAAGAAGAAGCAGCCACTGACCACTCGATTTAAGCAAATTGACATCCTAATTGAAACATGACTCCGGCATCGTATGTCAAATCCAGCAAGAATTCTTCTCTTTTTTTTTTTTGTAGGAAATAGGCAGGCATATTTTGTAATTTTGTTTTATATTAAGGGCTTTTATGTAACTCTACATTTTATATGACCTTATATATATTTGCTGCTAAGGGTGCGCAGCTCTGGAATTTTGGTTTTGCACCCACCACTTCCGCCTCACTTTACATGGTATCAGAGCAAGGTTCGGCAGAGCTTCTTCTTTCGCGCCGCCAGGGGTTTTGACTCCACAACCCAGATTCGGCCTTGTATCGGAGGTCTGAACGCTGAAGCCAACCCAGATTCGGCCTTGTATCGGAGGTCCGACGCGCTGAAGCCAACCCAGATTCCTCCTTTCCTGTTTTGTCTGTTTTGTCACGACCATAGTGTGGATTGGAGATTGGATTTCTTGATTGGGTTTTTCATCTCGTATTGACGGTAATATCGATTACCCTTTTATTTGCTTTTCTCCTTGGTTGATTTGCATATTGATTTGTTGCTGCGGAATTGGATTGAACAATGACCGAGAAAAATGAGACTTTGGCTATCAAATTAGATGGAAAGAATTTTTCTTTGTGGAAATTCCATTTTCAATTCTTTGTAGAAGGCAAAGGTTTGTGGGGCTATATTGATGGAACTGAGCCTATGCCTGAAGCATCAAAAATCAAAGAACTTCAACAGTGGAAGATGAATAATGCAAAAATTGTTTCTTGGATTTTGGCTTCTGTTGATATTAATATTGGAATCCCTATGCGAGGATTTCGCACTGCTAAGGCA